ATAGTGCAGTCATCGAATACCACTCAATTAGCAACAACTTATTCGGCAGTGTTACAGTTCCCAAGAAACGCCAGAAAGCTTCCCCAGAAGATATCCCACTCAGATTACCTCAAAGAAATCCCGTTTCCGAACCTAAAGACGACGACCATTACCGAGCACCAATGTTTACCCGCACCATTGAATTAATCGCCTAATCTACCACATAGCGTCCTCCAGCGAACCTATCCAGATTTCCAGAAGATACCTACCAATGCTCACGTGTGTGTTATTTTGGAAATAGGTGTTGATCGGTCATCAACATGTGTGCCACGTGTGTGTTATTTTGGAAATAGGTGTTGATCGGTCATCAACATGTGTGCCTACGTCTGTGTTTGTTTTTTTTTTCAGCGCAAAGATATTTCGGGAAGGACAAACAAATTCTGCATGAGCATGTTCCTAGATTTTGTTGTTTTATTTTTCTCCTTTTCGCTTTTTGTGGTATATTATATTTTTTTTTATCTTTATTTTTTTTTTGTTTTTTTTTTTGTTTTTTTTGTTTTTTTATTTTTTTCCTTTTCGCTTTTTGTGGTATATTATATTTTTTTTTATTTTTATTTATTTTTGTTTTTTTTTTGTTGTTCTTGTTTTGCTTGTAAAATTTTTTTTTTTTGGGTTATCATATTATCATAATCATATTTATGTATTTTCTAGATTAAGGGGGATACTTATGTAATATTGCTAATCGTTGTAAGAGATCTACATTAGTCCAGAAGTAAACTATAGGGAATCACGGGGGGTAGCCTTCAACATGTAATAATCAAATAGGGGTAATCACGGGTGGTAGCCTTTAATCTGTAATCTTTAACACTTTTAAATTAACATCGGTGTGGTGTTTATGTAAGTAATTAGAAACAGATGGTAGTATACAAAGGAGACCTATCCCATGTCGGCAGGGAAGGAGACACTGAGAGATTAAGAAACTATAGGGGTATAGAAACGGAATCGGTCAGGCACGGCAATTAGGGTTAAGGAACAGTAAGGGATCTTTTGACAAAAGAAATATTTCATATGTTGGCCATCTGGGGGGTGAGATAAATAGGAGTGTAGTTAGGGTTTGGGTTATTCATTCTTTAGCTGGGGAGAAGATCGGATCGTTCTAATATTCTAAGAGTCTTGGGTATACTTCTTGGATTAGTGTAGATCTCCCGTTATTGAATGAAAATAAAGTGTTGTTAATATCTTAGCTGTTATCTTATTTGGAAAGTAAATTCAAAGCCGATAGAAGTCCGTATCCAGTCTCTTACCAACGACTATACAGTTGGTAAGAACAACCTACTTTGCAGTTTGCAAGTAGAACCCAACAAACAAGCCTGCCAACAAGCAGCTTGTCTACACGCTTTTTCCATGTTAGTTCCTCTTACCTGCATCACTGACAAGGTTGAGAAAAAAAAAGTTTTTCAACTCCTTAGAGTGATTTAAACATTTACAGTCTACGACACACGAGCTCTCGGTGCACTGTTTTACCTGACTGTACGTAGGCTTTTACAATTTACTCTCTCAAACCAACTCCAAAAGTAATATTTACAGGACCGCACTACCGATCCTAGTGACAGTTTAGCAATTAATCTCTCTTATAGCCAATCCACCAGACGAATAATAAAACAAAATGATTTATTAAAACACGAATATACAAACAATCGTAATTGGCATTGTTATGATAAATTATAGCCACCGAGACCACCAGATTCATACCTTGTAAACTAACACAAATGATAATAATGATAAGGATTGTAGGCATATGATACAGCAGCTATAAAATAATATCAGTGAACGTAATATGATATCATCAAAAAAAAAAAAATCTTTACATTCAAAATTTTGAATGATTACATGCAATAAATTTAGTGATGCTATCTTTATCAAACATTTAAACCAGTATTAAGCTAGGGAGACTTCTTTAATATGATTAAGGCCTTTTCATATTCTCATAATAGGGATCAATATTACGTGATAAAGATTCTCCTTTTGTATTATAATAAGTATAACTAGTATTTGATTTAGTCTTGTTAACATGATCAGAACTAGCAGTAGAATTAACTTGTAGATCATCATAAGTTGGTAATGTTTGATCTCGTCCTGTATTAGTTATACCATCATAATTATTTTCTCTTGGTGTAGATGACAAGGATTTCATTTTCCTGTAATTTAAGAAGACAATAGAAACAAAACTCTCGTATTACATCTTTAGTATGTTGTATCTACTGGATTATCAATAACCTGTCCAGGTGCTTTAACATTGATAGGTTTCGACTTTGCAGTTATAAATCAACTTTCAGAAGTATAATTGAATTACAATTGTATGATATTAAAAATGTATAGATATGAACCTACCTTGCAAAATATACAACCAAACCAACATTGATAATAACAGATATGATCAATAATGTACCCAACACTCCACCAACAATACCTGAATCTAAATACGATAACAAAATTCAAACTCCGTACAAAATTACAGTGTTTGTCTCTGCAATGTGTTAATAGAATAATGGCGGAATGATTTTGTACATTTCGAACATCAATATGACTGTAATGAAAGGGAAGTAACTTTTGGTTTGGTTCTTTTCATTTCCCGAAAGCTCCTATGAAACTTGCATATACACGAGCTTCCTCTTTACCATAAATTATCTTGAAAGCAGATTATGTAGTACTTGTTTCAGAGAAAAGTGTATTTGAACTTACTGTCACCTTGTTCCACAGGAGACTGTAAATATTGTGTGGTAGAAGAGGTAGTGCTTTCCTCTGGTGTCTGTGTCACCTCAGATGTACTTTTTTCAGTTGTTTGAGTGATAATAGATGGACCTACAAAATAGTGTTGTATGCAAAATGTACAAACGGTTGTTACAACTTTTTGCTGCGAAGTTAGTTATAAAACATAAATGCAATTTTAAAAGATTTTCATTTTGATTCAGTTTTGACTTTAATTGATAATGCATAAATCAATAATATATTCAATTTACCGTTTGTAACACAATCATATTGTATTTTACTGTAAGCACTAACATTGCTACTATAACATACAGTATTAACTGTGTTATATCTACGATATCCTGGTAGTGAACAATTTACATTTCCATTACACCTCTCTAATACTTGTTGTTCTTCACGAGTCTCAAATGGTACGAAACAATCATCAGGTTCTTCGTCACAACATGTTGTATTACAATCAGATATACCACGAACATCATTACATTCTGGTCTATATCCATATGATGTATTTATTATCTGTATTACTAGAGGACTAGGACAAGATAGTCTGTGAGTTGTACATTGTAGACTTTGTACTCCATAACATACTGTACTTAAGCTAGTACAACCTGAAACAGTTTATAAATAATGATACCAATGATACATTGATTGACAACCAACCAAATACATTTAACAGAAATATAAGTAAGCAATAAATTATAACATGTGAAAATTTCTATGAGCTAAATTAAAACTTTTGATTCTGTGGAGAAGTTGCGAGTTGCAATATATATTTACATCAACTACACATTTAAAATAATCCAGACATATCGTCATTGATGACTAAACTTTTAACTTACGAACAACGGGAAAACAAATCAGGACAAAAAATATCACAAAATAAGACTTGATTCTCTTTATATTATCACCAATGTTGTAACCTATATTATCTTATTTTCATATTCAGTTTTCAGGCTCTATTATTTTATACTTCCTGAATCGCCATTTTACATTGTTTATCTAAATCAAAGAATAAGTTCACCTTAATTTTATAACATGTTTTATTTTGCTGTTTGTAAATGGTCAACGACTATTTAATAGTCACGATATATTGATTTGATAATGATAGACATTTGACAAGAACTTACCTTGTTAGATTAAAGATTGTATATAAATGTAACCATTTATAAAAAGGTGATGTTGAATAACGTCAATAAAAGGAGTATATATTAGCCTATTTTATAAAATTATGTCATGTGATTCGGGGATTTTATTTTTAGAATTTACAATATTGAGAAAAGGGAAGTTAAATGTAGGATTTATAAAGGTAAGAAATATGACAATGTTTTGCGTGATAAATTACACTCAAATACCTTTTACCAAGTCCTCTTATTAACTTATCATTCGTTCATAAAGATCATAAAAAATTAACTTCAACTTCAGTGATTTAATAAAACCATAATATTTAAAGTGTTTACAATGAGTTTACGATGACGATATTAACAAACCCACTGCTATAATGTAACAGAAGCTGTCGTGGTTCAGTTGACTCAAATCTCAATCCTCTTTTTTACAACATTTCTGGCATAATCATTGTAATAATAATTGTATCAGTAATAAGTATGTTTTCTTGTCAGTTTAGTCAATATCTGTGATAATATATCAATCTCTGTATTCATACAATTACTATAATAATATACTTCCTTTACCGCCATTGTACCTTTAGTTTGAACACTGTTATTGAGTTTAATAATTGATATTACTAGGTTATGCAGATGCGGATCCTTGATGTATTTTAATAGAGATACATGTATTCAATATTCACAACTTCGACAACTTAATAAACACTATTAGGATTTGTCTTAAATAAATTGTAAGTAGTGATAACAATAGTTATTTTCTATGTTAAAATTGATATAGAATATATGTGTATTGAACAGTGTATATGATATATTTTATATATATAGGTGTCTATTGATGTGGTCTATTGAATATAAACAATATACAGTGTATTTAGTTTATGATATTTGTAAAGTGACTAGGATTTTGTATTTAGGATATGAAGTGTATGAGATAGGGAAGACAAAATCGTTGTTTAACGCTATTATATTTATAGCGTCTTGGTTTGTTAAAGATATTAGTATCTGTATTCAGTCGATTTTTACTTCAGTTGATAAATATAATTCAAAGGAAAGCGCTGTATTTCCTGAATATGTTGATCTTAGAGTTTCGGCCTGTGTATGGTATTACAGCTGTACAGATTGTAATTAATTGACGTGAAGGGGTGTCTATTCTTTTTTGTGATAAGTGACTTCAGAGCCGTCTTAAAAATGTAAAGTCTCCAATTAATTTTCAGGGTCGTCATGATTCGTCATTAAGTTCTTATTGTATTCTCTTTAGACTAACTAGAGTTAAATAAATATTTTTTGTGTCATGATCAATACAGTATAACAATAATGTAACATAGGCTTACCTTATCTTTTATCTTTATATTGCTTCCTGATTAATTTAACGTTGAATATCAATGTTTTCAATTTATATTATAGTAAATAGAGAAATATAACATGTTATTAAATACATTAGTAAATAACTTCAACTTCAAGTGAGTAATACGTTATCCTAATAGTAGGATTGTCTTTTTAAATAGAAGTGAACGAGGAGCACATTTAACCGCGTTCCGGTGCACTTTTTCTCATTATCCTTTCTAACACAGCAAGTCCTGTCTGAACAACAATGACCTTCAGTGGTCAATAGATTTGCTTTTAAAACTGTTCTAAGAAGGGAAGAATTTGTTATGTAGATGAAGTTACATTTTTTATATACAATGGAAACGAAAAGATTTTATTGAGAGAACCCTCTTTAGACGCTTGTTAGGCTTGCAAATATAACAGAGTTGCCACATTTTGAATTCAGCCTCGACCGTTGCCGCCCACTTGGAACCCTTGCTCCCCGGCCCGTTTGCCCCCCAAAATGAAATCAGTCGGCGTGGGTGTGGAATGGATGTGGGTGTGATAATATAAACTAAATATTGTCTACATGATTGCATGATTTGATTACATTAATTACATACCTGACTCCAATTACGCAGTTTTCTTGTTTAAATCTGCAAAAAAAAATTATTTGAGAAATACAATGACAAACACTCGATTTAACGAGCTCGGAGTCTAGCATGTTGAGTGAGATCTCGCTGCGTCCTTAGACCTAAACCATTTCATTGACGAGTTCTCAGAGCAGCATAATAACTTGAGGATAAAGCTTTTTAAAAAAAACTAATGTACATATGTAGTTCATTTTAAAAGTGGGTTTACTGGACTTTAGGACTATTTGCTTTAAAAGAGGTTGGATGTGGTTGAATTTTAGGTACATGAGATCTCCATCATCATCAATGTAATCCTGTATGAAGGTCATATTGATATTATTCTAAAGAAATAACTCTTCTCAAAAAAACAATGGTATTCATCGAATCCATCTGTTGACAACAGATCGCTTTAGGAGAATGTTGGACGTCCAAACGTCCCGTAAACCCATGATACAGATATGAAGTTTAAACTTATGTTGTGTTTTTCATTTTGCTGTATAAACAAAAAACATATCACTGTTTATTATTAGTGAGTTACCATTTTCATGTTTAGGATACAATATTGATACAAGAAGTATTAAGTATAAGTGACTAGTCTATGAGGTGGTGTATGATTTTGCCAAACAAAATCAATATTCATTGAAATTAAAATACAGATGTGACGTCACCCTTTGATCTTGGAGTACCATTATCCAACATAATGATACTGGCAAATGGCCACGAGTCTAATATTGGCATCAATAATGGACCCCAAATAATATAGGACTCTTGGTCCTTTACCAAGTAAATTTGATCGTTTTATAAATGTATTCACTATTGACTTGGATTCAAAATCAAATTGCATTTGAACACTAGTCATAATATATATATACGATGATGTGGGTTAAAACATCATAGAAATTCATATTTAGGAATAGGTCAACTGGTTTGAATTAGAATGTTATTCTCTATTATGTCATATTTCGATCAGAGTATTTATGCCATTTTCAGAAATAATGCACTAAAATGTTCTTCACAAACAACACTAAATGAATTAATTTAAAACAACCAAGGCAAGAATATTCTAATAGCTCGGCCAATACTGTCATGCTTATCACTAATTGCTAACATGATTTAGCAATGCAAAATGTATGTAAGTCATTAAACGCTACCATATAAGCCATGACAGTGGTCATATGGTAAGTGGCCATAAGTACATGTAATTAAATTTATTCTACTCCCACTACAAACTCGCTTTAGGTGTATTCTCCGCCTTCCTAGATTAGATAAATTTTCCAAGGGGTGATCCCCCTGACCTCAATCATATCTAGTCCTCTATGATATCCAGAAAGTAGAACCGGGGGCGCTCCGATGCCACCTCCGTCAATCAAATCCTTGCTATGCCATCTTGTATTTCGATTCTGAAATAATTGAATGAGCCATCAGGGAAGGGAAAAAACTGACCTGTAGACATACATATTCAAATTGTAATCCATGAATCACAGTCCAGATATACGAAATAAAATAATTAAATATCCATTTTAATCCATATCATTTATTAGTGAATGAACGACAAACAATATGGCACTTTTGCACACTTTCTTTCATATATTTATATACATAATCAATCGTGGTAACTATCAAACTACTTTATAATAGAAATGAAATTCTGTTTAAACTACAATAAGGGAATAACAGTATTTAACTCGGAACGGGTATATTTTTATCAATCCTGACCGGACATTTTGAAAGATTCCCTGTTGGCCCATGTTATGCCATGTAATTGGAGCTCATGTGATCTATAGTATTACACGTGCCAAATGTTTGTGAACTCTATTTCCTTCCCCCCTTAAATTGAAAAAGTATGGTTACACCATTGCCTACCCCATTGCCTACCCCCGCACCCACCAACACAAACACACTGAGTGAGTCTGCCCCTATATGTACTTCATGTAAAGTATGACAATAAAATTACTTCCCCAATTTTTTGTCTTTTTTTCAATTGTATGTAAGCATTTTTATCCTCTAGGCTATGATAGTTATTATTGGAATCTTTATGCTATATATTTCAGATCACGTGACAGATTAACATATGATATAATAATCTTATATGCTTGTACCAGTATGGTTGGCTTATTGTTCAAGCAACTTTCCGTAGTTTTTACTAAAGGATTATTGATTATCTTCATAATTTTGATTATAAAAGTTACTTTTATAGGTGAGTTAGTTTCAAGATAATATACAAAAAAAATATAATTTCTTTGGTTTTTCATTCCCGGAAAATCAACTTGAAACATTGGCTAACAAAAGCATCGAGCAATACTTTACTGATTAAAAGGAAAGTATGACCCAGGTTCAGTTCTGCAATGCAAATGTCTGTTGAGGTAAAATGGATGTGGATTTTGTTTCAGGTAGTACTAATACAAGTACAGTATGTTATGGACCACCTGGTCTATCATGTGCAACTCACAGATTATCTTGTCCTAGTCCTCTAGTAATACAGATATTAAATACATCATATGGATATAGACCAGAATGTAATAATATAAATGGTCTGGCTAACTGTATAAATACAACATGTTGTAAAGAAGAACTTGGTGATTGTTTTCAACAATTTTCTTCTGATGAGAATCAACAAGTAGTTAGAAACTGTAGTGAAGTAGAAACTTGTACTGTATCTGGATTCCGTGAGGTTCAAGGTATAGAATGTGGTGGAAATGCTAGTGCTTACAGTAAAATACAATATGATTGTGTTCCAGTAGGTAATGTAGACATTTTTTAATTACTTTGATAGAATATCATATGACATACATGTTCCAGAATGCACTTCGCAGACAGGGCAGTAGTAATAAAATGAAAAATTGATACTAGTAGAAATTACAGTTAGTTGTTATATAACAGTATCTAACTTGTCATAGATCTAAAGCCCATAAAGTCCATACATAAATAAATCCTTCGTAAGTTATGGGTGCCTCTAAGTTACAACTCAATTCGTTCGTAACCTACATATTGTACAGACTGACTGTCCGTAAGTTACTTCGTAAATTTAACGTGGTATTTTGGAATTCATTTCATAAAAAACATAATTGGTAATTTATATATTGGAATTTCTGGATTTGCAGACTCAAATTTCGACGATGAGCTGTAAATACTATTATTTAATTCCCGTATCTGTCCCTTTAAACTATTATAGAACATCACTCTTGGTACTTGACAGATCTTTTTGATTAATATAAGTAATAGGTGCGGTAGAATGAAAAGCATTTTCAATTGAAGTATTGACCACTTATTGTTCGGCGAATGGGTACCAGGGATGTCTTAAAGTAAAAAGCAACAGTTAATGCCTAATAGATTGTGAATGGAACAAGTGCTCTTTTAGTAAAATGTAAGGCAATAAATACATTCTATGTGTTATCATAATTATAAATTCTTACTTGGGTATTTATTCCAAGCATTTGATAAGCTGAACTTCTTCCTTAGGTAGCATCATTACAACATCAACTCAAACTACTGTCAGTGAAACACATACCAGAGCATCAACAGGTAAGATAAATAAAAACAACTCAGTAAAATTAGAGATTATACACCTGGTTCTGTTTTTGAATGAAAACTTCTTTGTTCAATCGATATACAACCGGGACTAGGTATTTCTATTTAAAATCACAGGTAGGAATATTACATGCTTATTGCCTCTTGACTCTTCTTAGGAGAAAGGATATAAACTGTTGTTTGGATTTCTATGACAATTTATGTGTGCGTATACATCTTATATAGATCCTATCTTAAATCCGTTATGGCTGAAAAGTTGAACACAATGTTTTTTTCCCCAAATCAAAGGGCAGTCTCAAGCAAATATTCCTAAAATATTCAAGGAAACGCAAACTGTAATAATATTATGTTTGGTAACCTGGGCTATTCATGTGTAATAATTGTTAATAGCTTCGCTTGTTCTTTAGTAATAAATACACCTACATCAACTAAAACCACATTGAGTCAAACTAAAACCACATCGAGTCAAACTAAAACCACATCGAGTCAAACGAAAACCGCATCGAGTCAAACTAAAACCATATCGATTCAAACTACTTCCCAGTCTGTAACAACAATATTAAATAGTAAGACCCTTACTAATTACTAAACAGTATGTCATCACACAAATTCCAGTATACCATTAGTTGCATATCTACAAAGAAATTAATCTTCAAGCCTTAAGTTTAACTCGCATTGTAAGGCTATAGATTCTGTTATCTTGCAGATAACATTCAATGAAGGGAGATTGCAAGTCAATTAATAAAATTGTCAGATGATAGGGTTATTACTGTTTGTGATTGAAATTTTCATTTCAATTTCTAGGTATAACTTTTACATCAAGTTCTACAACAACGGGTAACATCTTTGTTCATTAACATTCAGTCATCGACCATCTACTAAAATAACTTTTAATTAATTAAAACGTCTTTGTTTTCTCTCAATAATGCATTCTCTTAGATATTAAAGTATAGGTAATATCATATCAAAACATTATGAATGTTATTTATTTGATAAGGTATAATACTATTTATAATTTATTTTTAAAGGGTCAGTCGTTGCTAATACTAGCGATGTGGGTAAGTAAATCTTTGTTTATCTTTAAAATGTCTGGAACTAGTCTATTGATGTATAGATATAGTTCCTGATAGTAGGTGATGGTAGTTGGTTTGGGAATGAGGTTGAAAAATTTGTTGAAATAGGGATATGAAAATAAGCTGTATATGTTTACCTTTAATTAATAATTTAACAGAACTGTGATGTTGATATTTTAGGGTCTGTAGTTGGAGGAATATTTGGTGCTATTATTATTATAGTCATTATTATAGTAGTGGTACTGTTTCTTTACAAGAGGTAAGATTATGAAATATTTTCAGACTCGCAATATTCAATGTTAATGCATATACCGTTCTTGTCAAATTGACAACATGAAAAACCATACATAATGATACGCAAAAGTAAATGCACATTGAAATTTCTTTAACATATTGTTTGACTGCCTTTCTGATATGTGATTTCCTTGGAAAATGTAATGACACAAATAATAAATTAACTCTATTTACAGAAGGAAAAAGTCACAAACATCACAATCAATAACAGATAGGAACATGTCTATACAAACTGTTACACCACAATATGATGTTATTGATGGTCCTGGAACAATTAATAATCGTAAAGATACCAGTGGATATGATGAAATAGAACTGGACAATAAACCAAGAGTACAAGCCACTGCTGCACATCTAAAACCCACTACAATAAACAACCGTAATGGTGAAATAGAATTTGTCCGAAAACCAAAAGTCCAAACAACTGATAATTATGATCATGTCGGAGATGATAAACTGAAAGTAAAACCAGAAGATCTCGATAACTATAATCATATCGGAACTTACAATCATTCTGTACATGAAGATAACTACAATCATATCGGAAACAATTTGTCTCTAAGATCTAATCATCTTGATGCAGATTATAACCATATTAACGGATTGCCTGGTACTTCCAATGGTGAAGATGATTACAATCATATTGGTGATAATGATAACAATGTGATAACAGATGATAATTATCATCATATCGGATCGGGGGACATCAAGGTAGAAGGAGACTATGATCATATCGGATCTAAAAGTAATGATGACAATAATCAAGCTTTTGACCAAGCACAAGATAGTAATAATCCAGAAGATAGTGATACACCTTACTATCTGTCTACTTGTTAAGAGGTTTTCTGGTTTTATTGTGATAATTTTCATTAAGTTCATCAATCCAAATATTCAATATTTTGTAAATTACTACTGTAAATATCTGTGAATCGTAAATGCGTACCTGAAATAATATGGCGAATTGCATGTTTTACTAATGGTCTAGGACAAAATAAGATTGGTTTACCTACCAGTTACCAGTGAAATATTTAGTCTGTGAAAGTGACTGTATTTGTTCGAATGGGGTCGATGTTACGAGTTGTGTCCATGAAAGATGCATAAACAATTGATAGTTAGCGTCGCGGTCCTATTTTTTCACGTACAACGGTACCTATTTTTTTAGCACAGGAGAGAGCGTAACAATAGATCTTAATTGACTCGTGAATATTATTTGACTATTGATAAGTAATCTGTTTGAAAGTTTGTACATAATAACATATATACTTTATCTATCTGGAAATAATGGAACACATGTTAAAAGGCTACTTCAATCAAATGTGCTTCAATAAACAGCTATCTTAGTAATCTATCACTTAGCCTATATTGTAAACTATATAGGGATATAGGGGATATTTTGAATAAAATAGGTATGTAGTATATTATGAAGATATAATATTACTGAGGACTTCATGGTAAAATGATATGTTAGAAAAGTAAAGAACATGTTTACAACACAAATTTAACATTTATGAATTCTTAAGAATAATTTGCTCGCTCTAAAAGAACGCATCTTGATCAGGCCGAGGTAAAAGAGAATAAATTTATCACCATTCCTGCCTTTTTAAGTCGTTGTAGGATCATAATTGTATGATCATTCAGTAGAAAATCGTCAATGGCTGGGTTCTATGTCCGATTTTCATTAACTTTTATATTAATATTTTGAAATACGGGGTTGTTTTGTTGTTACCTGTCACATATTCACAACCGTAATATTTTACTTTTGTTTTACTTCCTTAGTAGCCATCTTAATTCATTTCATCTGTGGTCAAATCGTATACAAATCGTATATAGAAACATCACATTGGTAAGGTCCTAGCTGTAACCGGGAATGTATGTAAACTTTTAGCGTTTGGAGTCGTATAAGTTATTTTTCATCTTTATTTCTATATCACTTCAAATATACCTCAAACTAAAAATTTTTCTTTCTTTTTCCATATGCGATTTTTGTAAATGTGGCTTTTTTTCAAACATCTTTCAATCATGGTTCATTTTGAACACACATGGATTTGAAGGCTCAAATTTAGACGATGAGCTGTGATCACTATTTCTGATTAGCTTAGCTAAAAAAATATCGTTTCTGGTTTCTGAGACTAAGGTATGATTAGTCAAACGGCGAATCTGAACCTCTAAAATGTATAACATCGCTCAATATAATTGCTGTACTTTTATTATTTCATAACGCGAAATGGTAATACGAATAATGTATGTTTAAAATCTAGTTGAATTATTCAGGTAGTAAAATGAAGCGGGCTATTGAATAAGTACAATACAAGGTGTTCACTAATGTGTGTTATGATGTTTGTACGGTGGCTCACATACGACATATTTCATTATTTATGTTGAATTAAAAACTTTCATTTAGGTAATAATTCCTGTAATTTTGAATTAAAAACTTTAATTTTATTTTCACCTCGGTGTAAATAAAGTGATAATTCAAGAATTTTGAATTAAAAACCTTTTTTCGCCGTTTTTTACAAGATATATAAAAATTAGAAGTTCGTTGAATTATCATCTAGGTGAAAATTTAAAAAGTTTTTAATTCAAAATTACGGGAATTATCAGAAATTTTTAATTCAAAATAACAGGAACTATCACCTAATTTACACCTAGGTGAAAATAAAAATCACCAAGTTAAAATTAAAGTTTTTAATTCAAAATAAAAAAATGAATATGTCGTATGTGAGCCACCGTACGTTTGTCATGTGACTTAGATTTTTTATTTAGAATATTAAACAAATAGATGTGGAAGCTTCAAAGATAGGATTTTTGATGGTAAGATAGTTTTTAATAATCATCAATTGTGTTTTCATGCTATTTCTTGTAAATTTTATCTTTTCTGTTATTTTACCTCTCGTTCACGTGTAGTTATTTTAATATAAAAGACGCAAGAGTATGAAACTTATAAAATTCGGGTAAATTTCATAATTATGAATTACTTCCTTCTTTGATACATGTAGCGTGATGTGAGCTAATGTACATTTACCAACATGCTTTGAAAATACACCGAACTTGTGAAATAAAAAAATCCGTACAAGCAAGACAATTCCGTTAATTAAAATTTCGTCCAAAATATGGCAAAATCAAGAGTAAAAGTTGTGTAGGTAGTAGACTCCTCCAAAGAGAAGTACCATCAGGTGTTTCGAAAATAGTAAGCATAGTATGCTTTGCGCGCGACACCCGCCACTACCACAATGGTAAAAATCATGAGATACAACCAGATCAATTCAGGCCTGACCAAACAAAACAGCCAAAATGCCAGAAACAGATTTATCGTTTTTATCAAGGAGCCAAGACCATAAAATTTCCTACATGACATGAAAGTTACCTTGTTTCAGCAATTTCAAAGTTAATACTCGACCTCTAGCTAGAAAATCATCATCAAGAGAACAAACCCCAACATCAGTTGTGAACTGTACACTCCATAAGCTGGTGACTGTGGTATGTTACTGCAAATGAATGGAAAAAATTACTATGGGGAAATCGAAGTCGTCACGTTTGTTATATAGTCTGACACAAAGATCGTGGGTGTTGACATTTTCAAGAAGCAAATGCAAGTAGTCTTAGAATCAGTGGTGCCCTTAAATTCCAACTCTCTCGTGTAGATTTTATCTACATAGTCTCCAAAAGCGGAGTTATTCAGTGACTGCTCTTGCTTGTGAGGCCTTGAATAAATTCTTCCTCATAAGAGTAAAGAAATAAATCAGCAAGTAAAGGAGCACAATTAGTACCCATAAGAATACCGATTACTTGCTGAAATATCTAGAGACCTTAATGAATATTTGACAGCTAAAATACACAAGCGAAACCCTGCCGTTGGGACTAAAAAAAGTGACCATGCCACTTTGGATTTGTTATATTCCAGGAACACTGACTTTTGATCTTAAAAGGTGACCGACTGTTCATTATCACTGACACATTATCTCTAAAGGGCATTCGAAATAAGATAATATTATTTTCCTCAGAGTGGCGTGGTTAGTGTAATATGACTACATAACACTGTAAGAAAAATCCCCTTTGGTTTCTCGAAATTCATTTCCCTTCACTTTCATAATAAAATGAATTTTATCTGATATGATGCAAAATATTATGTATTATCATACAGGCGCAAACGAAAGTGTCTATGTGGAACCTTTAACCTTAAAGATTAGAGGATGCAAGATCCGATCCGGTTAAGACAATTATTTATTTTAATGTGAATTTCGATATTTTAGACAATCTCTGTATTATAGTAAGCTTTCAATGAAAACTTGTCTAATACTCCCATTTCACTTTCACCAAGAATTGTTTTTTTTTTTCAATAGACCCGATCTAATTGACCAATTTGTCCCAATGAAACATTTCTTTAATCGTTTCCTTTCTTATAACCTGATTAATTCCTGACCAATGGATCATGACGGATTGACGAATCGGACGTTCTAAATTGGTTTATTATATTTATTATTGGCCGTTTCAAAAAGGTTTAAGAATGTGTTGTGTATAATAATAATAAGCTTTATATTTTGTATACAAGGCGAATTGCCCAAATTGTTAGATAATATTTAAGGAAACAACAAAAACAAACAAAAGACAGCAAAGATAAAGAACTAATATACAGAATATTACTTTGCATAAATAGAACATTTTTCAACACTATTCACATTGCATAGCGTGCACACCCTTTCATTGTACGGAACGTTTTCCCATTTACTCTTTACTACCATCAGCCTGTTCTAAATTTACATAACATGGTTTTATATTTATAATACAAGAATGTATTTATCAAATACAATTCAGACTCTAAATTAATTTATATTATGAGTAATATTGCAATCCTAATGGCGAAAGGTGATAAGCTGAAAATTGCCACAAACGGTCCGCCGAGAAATTGGCAAATATTTGCCGACCTTCTGCGTAGCTTCGCAGATACGTTTGAATGCACTTTTGGCGACAAAAAGTCGTGAATGCATCTCTACCAATTTCACTGCAAGCCCGGCGAACCTTCTGCATTAGCCACTGCGAAGCATTGAAATTGTCAACGTTTTATCTTCGCCATTCTTGCAAATCATCGCAAAGCCCAGTTGGACTGAGGTTTTTATATACCAACTGCAACATGTCGGGGAATATTCGGCTAAGTTAAGCGATACCTTTGAAATGGTTAGAGGATAATCGCCAAATAGTTCAGAAAATTCTCAAACATCGCCAATACAACGCTGAAGATTTTCAGATATATCGGCAACAGTCGCCGTCAATCATTGACGATTAATCTCGGTCATGGTCAGCAGATCGATCGCAGATTATCGGCGAGCATCGCATACTTGTCGCTTAATATTGCAAATTCATCTCCGTTCCACTATTTCTATAATTTTGTCTCTGTATATCGCAAGACATCGCAAAACTTTTCCACGTTTCCCCATTGCAAGACCATCACAGATTCCTAAATTCTCAGTGGGACTGGGGCTTTTAAGGCTCTAGACTAACTAGAGTAAAATAAATATTTTTTGTTTAATGATCAATACAGTATAACAATAATGTATAATAATAGGCTTACCTATCTCAAAGTTGTCAATTTATATTATGATAAATAGAGGAAATATACCATTTTATAAAATACATTGATAAATAACTCCAACTTCAAGTGGGTTATATCCTATTAGTAAGATTGTCTTTTAAAATAGAAGTGAACTTAGAAGAGGAGCACGTTAAACAGCGTTCCGGTGCACTTTAACACAGCAAGTCCTGTCTGAACAACACTGAGTTAGTCTGCTATATTTGTACCCCAAATCAAGTATAACAATAAAATAACTTCCCCTATCTGGTATCTTTTTTTTTGAACTCGTATGCATTTATTTTTATCATTTAGGCTATGACTGTTATAATTGGAAATTGTATGCTATATATTTCAGATCAGGTGACATAATATGATATAATAATCTTATATGCTTGTAACAGTGTGTCAGCTTGTTGACGCCTATTATGTTTAACAAACGGCTTTCCGTAGTTGTTACTAAAGGATTGTTGATTATCATCATAATTTTGATTATCAAAGTTACAGTTATAGGTGAGTTTCAAGATGATAGACAAGAATTATATAATTTCTTTTTTTTCTCGACAAGGCAACTTGAAACACTGGCCAACAAAAGCATCCAGCAATACAATACTGATTAAAAGGAAAGTATGACCCACCTGAGGTAAAACGTTGATACAGGCCCTGCTTGTCATTTAAATACGATGTGATTTTTTTCAGGTAGTACTAATACAAGTACAGTATGTTATGGACCACACTGGTCTAT